TGCTTAAAAATTATTTAGTAGGTGATAAATAAAAATACATTGTGGTCCTTTATTTAGCATGGGTTTACCTAAAATGACTGCAACAGAAAAAAGTCGATTTATTATCTTCGAAGATAAAGAGAGAAAGAGAAAAAAAATTTCAAACCTTTTTCTGTTAATGCAAGAGAAGTTCCAGTAAAGGGCTTATCATTGTTACAGGAATGTCTTAGAACAGGAAATTAAAAATAAGAAGGGTGAAAAAATGTTAAAATCAACTCAATGTACTATCAAGAGAAAGTTTTACGTTCGTTATTTACAGAAGATATTCATTTCTTTATTTCATTACCTTTCAAAGAGTGGATCTTTATCAAGACAAAGCTACAAGTCACACTTCGAAAATACTCCTGCATTCTTTGAAAAAATAGACTGATACAGCTATAGCATATATACTTTTTCAACATATTCCTGCAAACTCCCTTAACATTTCACCCATGGACTATTGTGCCTTTGGTCTTTCGAAAAAAGCTCTTTACAAATGCAAACCCACCACGATTGATGAACTCTGGAATGTAGTAGAAGAGTAATGGAAATCGGCACCTCTGGAAATATTACAAAAAGTTTTTCTACCGTGGAAATGATGATGCAGACTTATAGTCCAAAAAAAAAGCTATCAGGCTGAACATTTAAAAGATTAATCTTTACATTTTAAACATTAATTAAATGGCCCTGAAATTGTTCTAAAAATGTGTAAACATCTTTTGTATTGTGGTGTCTTTGCACAAGAGTTTAATTTGTTCCATGACTTGAGTTAGTAAGCTAATCTACTCATATCCTGGAGTTTTTTCCCCTTTCAAATACATTTAAAATACATTTAAATGCATTTCAAATACATTGATCGAGGTTAAAATAATATGCCAAGTAATGATTATTTCCGAAGTCAAACAACAAGAATCAGTGTAATATTTATAAATTTTGCTTTTGATGGTTTAACTATAGAACCATCGAAACTAGTCCTGCACAATTTACAAATATTATGCTGATTCTTGTTTGACTTCTCCAATAACCATTAATCTTTTTCAATCCCCTATTTAACCATCTCATTTTTTGTTACATATTTTTAAATGGGAAAAAATACCCTGTACTTATGTACATTTATGTAACATAAGACAAACATATAAAAATGAATGTGAAGAAATAAACTGCTTATACGAAGTTTAATTTCTGTATTCTATTATGTACATCTTCATTCTTTTTTTATTTTTTTATTTTATTTATTTATTTATTTATTTATTTATTTTTGCTACCTTTTCTCCATTGTTTCCTTTCTTTTATCTGAAGTACATTTTAGTAGAAACTAGTATAAGAAAATTTGTTTCATCATCCTTTTAAGAATGCTTTTGAAATTGCTAAATAAGTGCCACTAACTAGTGCTGTTCTGTGACACCTTGCAATTTTTTATGTCCCTTTTTGTGTATGAACTGCCTCCTATTTTCCCTGAATGTTCTTAAGTTTATTTGTAGTTCATTTAACTCTTTGGTTATAAGTTAGTCAGAGCAATTCTCACTATCACTCTCATCTATCTTTGAGGGCCAAGGAACACAATTTCTTCTATCACTTCCTCTTTGGGTTCGGTTTGAAGCCTTCAAAATCCATTTCAGACACAGCCACAGGTCACAGCGTATTCTACATAAAGTTCAAGATTATCCTTGAAACACACTTCAGTGCCATATCGATAATTTGTAGGCCTATCATGATATTATAATGGTCCTTTCAGAAGTTGCAAATGGTGAGATTGATGCTTGCTATCACATCAAAGCAGTGGTAAAATAAGTGTTTGATGAAAAGTGTTTTAAAACTTTATCATGTTCTATTCTATGGACTTTAAGATAAGTGTGGTGTTGGGTTGAAAGCAGAGAACACTGATGAACTTGAACTCTTCTGGGATATCATCTTCAAGGTTCAGTGATGGGGCAGAAGCATTGTCGAGTACAAGAAAGGCTTTTAGATGTAGGTTATTTTCGTCCAGATATATTTTAGCAGCAGGACATCAGACCAGGATGATTCACTCGACAAAGAATTACTTGGTGATCCACACATTTGGGTTTGCCCTTCACACCTTGATAATTTTATGGGTTAAATGCTGTGATGTTTTCTGAATGGTATATGAGCAGCAGCTTTATGTTAAAGGCAACACTCATATAAGTGGAGTGCACACAGTCAACTTATCTTTCATGGGTTTGCGGTCTGAAATCTCTGTCTTTACCATTTATATAAATTTATCTTGGCATCGTCTTATAGAAGAGTGCTATGTTCTTACAGTTGAAGGTAAGGTAGAGCAACTTTGTCTTCTATCAGCATTATAATGCAAAGAACCCTTCATTGCCTTCCTGACTAAGCTCTCTACTTCCCCATTACTAATTAGAGTGAATTACACCACTTCACCTTTTAAACATTTCAAACCAGCCACAACCTGCCTTGAATGTCTTTTCAGTGTCATTGTTTGAAGAGGCTGGAATCATCATAGCTCGCACCTTCTTGCAGATGATCACCTCGGTCACAGTATCTCCTTTGAGCTGCTTCTACTTCAGCCACACCTGAAGCAACTTTACCATCTTTTCAGTTATAGAAGTCCACTGTTTTAACACTGATGCAATGCCCTTGACTGGTACGACTGCCTTAATTGTCTCCTTCTACTTCAATATCATACACGTTGTAAAAGTACTATGCTCATATTGCTTGGCCATGTTGAATACACGCAGATTTCACTAAACTACCTCACACAGGTATTACATACATTAAAAGAGGAGAAAGGCACATACATCCAGTTAGTGTTACGTTAGTTATTACATCCCTGGTTTCAGACTAGCAGTGTGCATAACACAGGTATTACATACATTAAAAGAGGAGAAAGGCACATACATCCAGTTAGTGTTACGTTAGTTATTACATCCCTGGTTTCAGACTAGCAGTGTGCATAACAGCATGCAGTGTGTATACATAAACACATACACATCAAAATGCATTGTAGTTGCATTATGGAAAAGTAACTTAAATGCGTATAAATTAAAAACATTCTCTCCATCTGCCTGTAGGGAGGGAAATGAATATAATTTCTAAAGCAGTGAAATAAATGCAAATTTATCTTGTTCATCTTGTGCTTTAAAATTATTTTTAGAAAGTTGAATTATATTGAATATCCATTTTCATATTATGAAAATAATAATGTATATTAAATATTTTCTTTGATTAAAATACATCTGCTTATTGAAATTTATTATTTTTTCTAGGATCGTGTTGTAAATACATCTTTCGCTGTATTGACATCACTTATTGTTTCAGTAAGTTTTTTTTATTTTCCCATTTCATTTTCATGTCATTATTATATGAGAGTTTAAATACTTTTTAATACATTTTATATTAGTTATTTATGTAAATGTCTTAAATTTATATTATATTTATTTAATAATATATGCATATTATATTTTTAATACATTTTATATATTTGTTATATTAGAAATTTGTTTAAATATTTTTATTTGAAAACTTCCTATTTAAAAAATTTGAATGATAATGATTAATATTAGTTTTGCCATTTACATTTATTTGTGAAATATGTGTATTTAATATACATACAATGTATGCAATTTTTGTACCATATTAAAACAAGTTGTGTGTTCATTATTCATGATTATATACAAACCTGATTTTTTTAATTTAGTTTTTTAAATTTTATAGGCAACTGTTATTAGTGCATTCATTTTCCCACAATGGCCACCCTATGGACTAAATATATTTTTTGCTGCTTGTATTTCCTTAATGTGTGTATCCCATATTACATTGGTTAGTATTTTTTCTCTATATAGTTATTGACAAATGCAACTCGGAACTTTTCAAATTCATACATAAAATTACAAAACTATTGAAAGTATTATAAATTCTAAAATAATTGGTTTGAAAAAACATATTTAGAAGATAATGGTAATAACAAGAGCTACTCGTATATGTAGCATGATATTTAATGCTTTTCTCTATTAGAGTTGCTATTATAGTATTGTTTATGTAATTATAAAAAATGGCTGAGCATTTTTATAATAAACAAAAAGAAAAAATTAACAATTTGATAATTTTCATGATTAGAATGTTCTAATATTCAAAACTACATTGAAGCACTCAAAGTATGTTAAATAGGAAACAATTGCAAGAGTAAAACTAAAAAATGGAATTCATAGTTTTATATTAGCATATGATTATTGTATTAATTAAAATTGTCTAGTAAACTATGCAGTATACTATTATTAGTAGCATATTATAATTTATCTTCCTTTTATTCTGTATATGTGGTGTAGTACTGTATTTACTCGCATATATTTCTCTTTAGCTTCTAAAAATTTTGCAAGTATTCGCGTAATTTTCCCTTTCGTCAAGGCCTTAAGAAAATTACCTTCCTTAAATTTTAAAATAGATTTGTCTATGTAGTAATTGTGAAGATCATTTACATGTGGGAAGATGGATTGAATGGTGACAAAGACGATGACAACAGTGATGACGAGAATGATTTGCCAGCTAAACCTGACTATACAGACTGCATTTGCAGCAGCATTAAATGATTTGAGGCATTGGGAAGAGCAAACACGATTCAATATACAGGAAGTAGAAACGAAGATATTTTGTTAGATATTTATAATTTTAATATTACGGTGTATTTCTAAGATGTCTTTTAAATGAAGCCTATTGTGATAATTCCCGGTAGTTTATATATGGATTTTGTATATTTTTTATGCTCTTACAGTAATTGCATTCTTCAGAAATTAAATTATTTACATAATTTTCCACTCTTGATTTTTCTGCAGTAAAATTAGTAAAAAAAGGGAGGAACATGCTAGTAAATACAATAATTATGTTTTTATAAAGAATTTTAATGAAAAAATTGATTGCTTAAGCTATTAAAATTAATTTTTCTAATCATTTTCATGTTGGCATTAATCTCTGATCTTCTTTTATTCTTTTCTTGGAATAATTTTCTTATCTTTTATTTGAATATTGCTGTAGTATTATATAATGAGAAAAAAATTCATTCTGCTTTTGTTTCAAGAAATATTCTTTCATAGTTAGGTCTGGAAAATCAATTAACAATTAGTGCTCAAATCACTAATAATGATACATACCAAAAGTCTTTGTTCTTTTGTGAGACTTTGCTTGCAGTATACAAATATCATAATTTGATAATGGTGTAGTTTGATATCTATTACTTATAGTTGGTTATTGGATGCCATTAATTTGATATTTTAAAATATGAAAATAAATACAAATAGGTAAGAATACATAAATTAAAATGATTCCATTCATTTAATAACTGTTAAATTTCTAATTCCTTAAAATTTCATTAACTTCGTAATTCAATTATAATAGCTTCATAAAATAATAAAAAAACTAACTTTCATATTCAAATATGCAATAAAATAGCAGGAAAAAGAAATGAATGAAACAACAACAAATTTAGTAGCACCATCAAAAACTAAATAAATTACTTAAAGTTGTAGATCATATATTGTATCATTACTCACAATTCTTTATTATATTAAAAAAGGCTCTAAGGTAGTGATCACTAATAAGATGTATAGAAACTACTGTTCTTAAAAAATAAATGAATAAATAAAAATAAAATAAATAAATAAATAATAAATAAATAAAATAAAAGTTCCACCTTTCCCTGTAAACCAGGAATACTGAACAAAAGATTTACATTTCTGCCTTGTTGGCACATAAATTCCATAGTGGTATGCATAAGAGCTGAAAAATATATGTGATTTAATTTTGATCTTTTTTATAAGCAAACTCTAGTTGAATGGCAATGTAAGTTTATATTCTGCATAAAGATGACTGCCTGTCTGTATCATATCAGGCAATTTTAATTGTCATATCAGTGACTTGGCAGAGAATGCATTTTTGATATCAGAAAATTCAGTACAGTGCTCTTTCTAAGATACTGCCAGGCAAGTTGGGCAGAGCATTTCTGCAATTGAAAGAGTATGCAGAGACTTATTCAGAGTAGGGCAATATAAAATTCTGAATGTAGAAGCAATAGAATATTCTTATTCAAAGAAGGGCAAGGAAAGATTCTAAATATTATAAACAGACAGTGCTGAGAAACAACAGTCATCTCGCTAGGATCTCTATGATTGATTATTCTCTATTGTCAACAGCATTGGTGTAGAATTAGCAAATGGTAATGCATTTATCAGTGTCATATGTCATAAAATATCACTCTGTTTATACGAGTTAGAGGTTTGTCAGCCACTTCTTAGAATACGTTTGTCTGTCTGTAATGTGCTGCTTGGCTACAATGATGCACTGAACATTATGCATGGTGGACTGAGTGGTATGGTACTGTCTGTGACAGATAATTCTTTTATTTAAGCACAAATTATAGTTACTCGTATGTTCACTATTAGTACAATGAGAGATCCTAGGAAGACTGTACCCAGCAAACTGCAGCAACAAGGAGCTTTTTTTTTTTTTTTTTTTTTTTGCAGAGTGATGAAGCCAATAAGTATTCAATATGTCAATGACTTTCTGTGACCAGCTCTACTTCAATACTTGTAACTTCTCCTTAGGTTAATTTTCCTACAAGTTAATGCTACACTTCGTATTGCAGTAAGAATATGAGCCTTCTTTAGAATTAACAATTTCCGTCTTATTTAGTGGCTATCTAAATAAGATGGAAATTACATGAGCCTTCTTTAGAATTAACAATTTCTGTCTATTTAATGGCGATTACCTGATTTAGTTTTCTTAAAAAGTGTGTGGTATATTATCAAACAAAAGGTAGTGTACTATGACTAATCTCCAGCAAATCTTGAGTTTTAAACTGGGTTATAATAACTTGAATGGTTATTAAGACACTATTGGAATTTTAATTCAGTGCCGTGGCATGTAATGTAAGCAATAGAAGCTGGAGGCAGACACACAAAATACTAACTGGAATGATGTGTATGATCAGAAATATTTTTAACGCCTCTGAGAGCGTATTTCACACATTGAAAATTGGAAATACTCTTTAAAAAAACTAGCTAGGCGTATTTTCACGTATTGAATTTTTAACAAAGGTTTAGCTTAAAAAATGCATAGTGCCCCACTGAAATCAACAAATAATATTTTTTTCCTTCTCAAAACACCACCAAGACATTTTCGCCTCACTTCTCCGTGACAAAGAATATAGGCACCATGCCGTGCTGATTCAGCGATCACGGCCAGGGGTTAGAAGAAAGAAGCTGACTAATGAAATTTAAGTTTCCTTTTATATTTATGAGCACTGATTTAGTCACGCATTCCATGTTACTGGATGGTCATTCGAATAATTGAATTGGTTATCGACACACATGGTTTGGGAGTTCGGTGAAATTTCACTTACGAGCTGAAAAAATCTTTTGCACTCTTTTCAGAAAATTGAAGGCAAAGTAAAAGCATATATAAGGGTAATTAAGTTTTTAAAAATTTTTCTAGCATGATTTCTAATATGCCTTTAAATTATTTTTATGCTTATAGTGTTTGCATTTTTAATTCTTTCATTATTCTGCACTAGTCGGGAAAAAAGTCAAAATTTTACCAAGAACTACCAGTACAAAAATAAAATTTTAATTCCAATCTTCTTTTTAAAAAATCATGATCTTCACTAGTCTTACAGCACAAATCTGGGTCTTTTATTGCTATCTTTTCGTTAAAAAAATAGCAATTTTATCACGTTTTTCAGTACAAAAATTAGAATCGCATTGATAATTGTCGGCTGTGATAAATAGACATCTCCTTGCGATCTTCTAGTGGGCAAATCAGGACTTAACGTTCTGATTATATGAAATTAATTTGTCTAAGAGTCACCCCATACACAAATAGAACCCATGCGTAAAAAACCATGTGAAGTAATTAATGTAATTGTTACATGATTGTAATTTAAAGTTTTCAGAATGCATTTTTTTTTTTTTTTTTTTTTTTTTTTAAATCTTTAAACACTTTTGACCAATGTGATAAATGATTCTGACAACTTTAGTATATAATTAATCAACATCAGTTAATATCAGTTTTTTACTTTTACAGATATATTGGTATAATGAAGGAGGAGTTGATCCGAAGTTTCGTGTTTTAATTTATTGCAACACAGTACTTATTGTTTTATTTTGTATATGTGCTAATTGCTATTATCATACATGAAATTTCTTTGCTAAGCTGAAATCATTCCGTGTAATGCTTTATATATTGGGGCCAGTGCCCACATTAATGACACAGTGAATCTCATTATCAGAAATCATAGGAATTTATAAAAAGTTGCTAAGAGATTTAAATTTGTTCAAGCATGGAAAACAGTAATCTGTACAGATTTTAATAATTTAAGCTTCTATGCTTTTTATCATTTTTTGTCCAAATGAATGATGCAAATCGAATTTCTTTGAAAAGTAATTAGTGATGTAGCATTAAGTATTATGCAAGTTTTACACTAAATATATTTAATAGTTTATACTAGCCTCAGTATATATTACCCGTATTATCCATTAATTTATACTTACTTACTATTAATGCAAATAAATATCAAACTGAATTTGAGAATAATGGAGATTCCTGAACATCAGGAAAGTTAAGTGCTTTTAATCTAAATATACATACATAACTCAGTGTTAGATATAGGATGAACAATTAATAAATAATAGATGATATTTAGTATTGTATTAAAGTAGCATGCTTGAGTGTATTTCAGACAAAAAAATAGTACAGTACTCAGTGACATCTTTGTTTTAAATCTGTTGAAATTTTTAAAAGCCATTTTATTAGGCTGAGCTTTTTAAATTCAGATTATTATGTTTGTATGATTGACAATTTATAAAAATGTCTTATTTATTACTGATTCTTTTCTTTATTGTTTAATACTTTTTTAGATTCTTCTGTTTATATGCATTGTGCAAATTTTAGAGTTTTTACATGCTGCAATATATTCTGAGATATTTGCTTATATGTGAGTTGTATAGTGTACTTGCATGTTAAATATATGAGCTATTTTTATTTCATTACATAAAGATGTATTTTCTCGAATAGCATGGAGTGTCAGAAAATAATGCATAATATGCTGCTGTTAATATAGTTCTTATTGATTTTAAAGTACCATTAAATTCTTGAATGAAAATAACTAGTGTATGAATAATACACTACAAAACATTTTTAACCTTCTTTCCTTATTATGTTTTATTTTGAAATTTGTAATGAATTAGAGGATTCCACATTAATAATTTAATATGAAAATGATCCTTTTTCAAATATTCTGTTTAATATGTTTTACAAAATAGACAATTTCTAAAAAGTTAGTATACAATTTCTGCGATTTTATATGATTATGACTAAAGATACTTCATGATTGATATTTTTATGCTAAATAATTATTTGATGCTTTGAATTTCATTACAAGTAATTGCTTAATATTTTAATTGCAGATAGTATTGTTACACCATTTTAAATTAGTAATATTGTCCACCTTCCCACAGAAAAGTAATTAATAATTATGGAAAAAAAACTAATTGTTGTTTTTAATTGTTATATATATTTATATTTTCATGTAATATATGTATTTATTATAAATATTTTCATTTTGGAAGTTGATTCATTTTTTTTTTCATTATATTTTCTATGTAGCATTCTCAGAGACTTGCCTTTTAAAAAGTGCATTGCTGATAAATAATTCATTTTGAATATTTTCATAGCATACATTTACTAATAAATGAACCTATTAAAATAGGATCTGTTAAAAAGCTGATAATAATTCAGTGTTCAAATTATGTAAAATATTAGTAACTTTTGATGTAATTACAGGAATTTATAAATCAATTTTTCAATTAAAAAAAATTAAGCTACAGTTTTCTTATTTTACTATTGACATACTCAGTTCAAATCCAGTTAAACTATTAGTTGCTTCCTGATACTGGTGAAAAAAAAATTATGATGAAGTTTCTGATTTTATTACTGGAAAGCATCAACTTAATTTTGATTCATAATATAATTCCACTTTTGTGCGAATGCCTAGAGTCTTCAGCAAATGAGTTACAACGCTATGAAAGAAAATCAACAGTTTGTAAAAGTTACAGGGTTGTGAGAAATAATTGAAATGCTAACAAAAAATAAGTTCTTTTGATTGGGGAGAGGGAGAATTCTATTCAATAACATGTACTGTGTCTGGTATGCTACAACAGCATTGACTTTAGCATGCAGAACATTTAGATTAGCTGTGGGAGGCATAGATCACAACTGTTGTCGGATAAAGTTCTGTAGATACTCTTAGTGACAAGTGTGGATATATGGCAGATTAGAGCAACATGTGAGCCATGTTCAGGCTGTTTCTTTTCACATGAGCCATGTGTGATGCACATTGTCTTGTTGGAAAATGGTCTTGGATGGTTCTTGCATACATGTCAGTACCACGGGATTATCAATGTAGTGCCATACTATATACTTATGTAAAGGTTGTATTGATTTTAGGATATGTTATCCCTAATTGTTTGCCTGGTGATCATGTGTTGTCATGCTTGATCATCAGATTACAATTATTCTGATTGCTTCCACATGTTCAACAATAACTTGACCCAAAGCCACTTATTAATAGCAAAATTTGTTTCCATTCAGATTATTTTCAGTTTTATCTATATCTGCATCAGTGTAAGCTGTTTAATTATTGTTGGTTATAGGATATGAACTTCTTTGTCATGCAAATGATAACCAGGGATGGTTCTAATTTGACTGACAGTTGGAATAAATGGATTTTATACATATCCGTTTAATGCAATGGTCAAATCATTCAGTAGGGCTTCAGTGAACTCCATCAACCCTATCTTAATGTTTGTTGATATGCTATTGTTATAAACAGTCATATACTGTATATGCATGTTTCTTCTTAAATGACTGACAGTTACATGCATGGACAAGCCAGTATTTTATTTTGTATTACATGAGTAATATAATAGGACTTCTGGTATAAATAATAGGAAATACCAGAAAATGTTTTTGTTGCATCTTATCAATCATAAGTCACGTGACATAAAAGTTTGAAACTGATCAGTTATGTAGGTCATTTCTAATAATTTTGCAGTATTTTATTTATAGTGTAACAACAGTTCAGCTGTTGAGGAGTGTATGTTTATAAAGAAATTTAATCATAAATAAGCAACTAACAATAAGCTGAAAATTCTAACTTATCTCCAGAAAATACAGGTTACTGCAAGGGGGTTTATTTTTTCTTCCCCCCCTCTCCAGAGAGCTTTTTCTATGTATAGGCTTATTTCAGTAAAATAATTTCATGATAAATTAGTAATGTATGTAGTTTAATCAGCGAGTATTAAATATATTCGTTTTTAAATTATCCAGCAGTGTCATGTAAATATGCAAAAATAAAGTTTTTCATGTTTTTGAATGTTTAAAACAAATTTCGTCCTTGAATAAGCTTTTCAATTTAGTGATACTCCTTATTGTACGAAAGTTTTATAAATATGAAGTGCTTTTTGATAACGCTAAATGAAATGTATAACAAGGTAATATTTGATTTTTTGTGAAATTGTTCAGGGGTTTTCAGTGCCTAAAGTAAAATAATATTATTAAGAACAAATCTTTTTGTTAATCAATACTTCAAATTAATCCCAGTTATTGGCCTCTCAAAAATGCTATTTTATAGATGCTGTTAAAAACATTTTATATAAATTTAAAAAAAAAGTCATTTACTACAAATTAATGCAATTTTATGTTAAAGATTTTGCTTATGTTTTAGTAATTTTCTGAAAAAATTAAAATTCAGGTATTTTTATAAAGATGAAACATTCCATTTCTTGACAATATATTTTTTATGTATATAAAATCTATTAAAGTAATTCCTTTTTTAGTGTTATCTGATCATTACCATTCATTTTTTTATCTTGTGCATTAAACATAATTTGTAAGTGCTCATTAATATTAATGAATATTCTAGAAGAATATGTGACAAACTTAAAATTTTCATTTGTGGATAAAATAGTACGGCAATATATAAAAGAACTGTGATAAATACAATTCAATTTGTATATCATTTTTTATTCAAGTATTTTAGATAAATTATGTATTGTAAATACAATGTTTTATAAATTATTTCATAAGAAATAAATTTCAGTTTCAAGTTTATTTGAAACTTGTACGATCAAGTTATGCATTTAACTACAGGGAATATGCCAAATAAATGTTATGTATGATCTAGATTGTCTTCCGACGCAGGAATTTTTTCTGTCTCCACATCTGAGATAGCTGCTTCTGGGCTTCGGTTGGCTGCCATCATTGGATCTAAAAAAATGTAATTTCATTTTAAAAGAATGTGTCACAAAATGTATATTTTAAAATAAAAATATCTGAAACAACATCCATTTGCTGAAAGGTATTTTAAAACAATACATGGAAAGTAAGATTTATTCTAATTAGTATGTATAGTTAATCTGCATTAACATACCTTTATTGAAATTTTAGATTGTAAGATCACGTCAAGATATTGATTAACTATTTATTAACTAGAAGTAAAAAATTAGCACTTGCATTTATTTTGTTCTCCAAAAAAGAGAGGGGGAATTATAAAATACAATAGGAGATCCAAAGTGTGCACAGCTTAGGACCTGAGTTAGTGTGAATTCAAAGTCAGAAATAATAATAAAACAAATCATGTAAAAAAGCACTGAAAGGGAAAGGTATCAAAAGTAAAAAAAAAAAAAAATTACAATTCCGCCCCCCCCTTTTTTTACATTTTCCAACATTTGCTTATAGCAATTTGTTTTAAATCTGTTATGTAGGATGTTCAAATCGCCCCTTTCTGTATTATATACAGTTATTATTTCCCATCAGTTATGCAGTTGTGTTATTCTAAATTCAATTTTTCATTCTTACTTGTAGAAGAATCATGAGTTTAAAAATTTCCTTTCTAATAAAATGAAAAAAGCTTTTAACTTGATTCATATTAAAAGTTCAACATGAAATGCTGCCTGAAATAGTAATGGGCTAAGCCGAAAGTACATTCAAGGTGCATCATTGCACAAAAGTATAACTATATACATGAGTATTTGAGAAAAATAGTAATTTTGTTAAATAATATTATTAACCAATTTTAGGTTTGTGAAATGATTGTATGCTTTCTCTTGAAATGACTGTTGTCTGCCATACTGTTTCAGCACTTCATTAACAAACATAAAACATTATTTCATTTTGTGGTTATTTGAAGAAAATATCTTACTCTGTATAATTCCTTTTTCATAAAAGAATTTCTTAGCAGAATCTTCATTTTGCATGCCAAATCATAAAATCAGTTTCTTTTCCCATGCATAAAAAACATATCTGATTCAAAACATGGTAACAAAGTTTGGTACAGCTTGTGGTGTAAGGGTTTTCATCAATAGTATAGTTGTACTCATTTTAACTAGTTCTCCATTATGCATTTCTCTCTCATAAACAAAAAGATATTTTAGTTTTTTAAATTTTTAAACTAGCTAAATATAGGTTTAATATTTAATAAATACTATTTATATATAAAATATAGCTCCTTAGAAACATCTTTCATTTCACTCATTGTTTGGTCACAGTTTTCCAGTTGGTAAATTTTACAATATTAAGTAATAATTAATAATAACTCAAAGCTTAATAATAAGTCATCAGCACAGTTTAACCATCAAACCCTTAAGCTTCCCTGTGATGTGATTTCATGTTGGTTTATATGTTAAAAAAAGAATATATTAAGAAAATGATACTAGTCAATTTTATGTGGCAATTACACAAGAGCGATATAACAATTAAAGGGTTCCATTCAAAGAGATGTTTAAACATAATTATCATATGCAGTAATTATGTAGGCAGGCATATTACATATTATAAAAGAGAAATAACAGTTTATGCTATTTTCCTCTCTAGTTTCTTAAAAAAAAGTGACATTATTACATTGCATAAGTGTATTAAAGCCTGTGAAAATATTGTTGAGTTAAAAACTTTCTTAAACATCAGTTACCTGACAAAATTAGGTGATTAGATTCAACCGGGTTCTCTTCTATGTCACCATCTTGGCTTGTATTACCATTTTCATCAATAGCCTATATGATGGGAAGGAAAAAAAATAGGATTTCTTTTAAACCAAATTAATCAAAGCCTCTAAGAAAGAAGAGAAAGAAAAGCTGACTGGAAAAACATTTTATAACTCATATGGATTACACTACAGCTGATGTATTAACAGACTATCAGATATTATTCTAAGGTCATGAAATATTCATTTCTGTACATAAAAATTGTTTAATAAGAAAATATTATGTAATGACAATGCAAAAACATTCTGGAAGTTTATAGTATAACTAATAGCAGATAGTAACTTATATATATAAAACATCAGTGTCAAGAACTTAAGAAATTAATAAAAATGTTGAATAATTTAAACATGCAAAGAATTCTGAATAATAATTCTGTGCTAAGGATACTAATTTCAATAACTATATTAACATTTTTTTACATGGCAGTATACAGAATTAAATGACAAGGTCTCTACGTAATCTTTTGATGGTGACAGGTCCATAAATTTATTACTTGAATTAGAGTTTTGTATTTTTTGAATCGCATTCATTTTATGAATGAAGTAAATAACTTTTTGTAGAAAATTTAGCTAGTCTGAAAATTGTCTGATGCAGTTTCATAATGCACAAGAGAAATTACTAACAACAAATTAAAATAACCGATTACCACTCTGATGGAAAAATGCAACATAAAATAAAAAGGGACAATAATAAGAAACATATATATCGGATGTTCCTCATGCCTAACATTATAAAGCTTTATAGAACTGTTCCTTGCCCTTTTGTTTATAACACACAGCCTTCACAACATTGTAGTTCCTGGTGTTTACATATGAAAGCAATATAATCTTAATATTTATTCAAGCTCTAAGAAATATACATTATAAGAACATGAGAGTAGAAGGCCATTGAAGATATAGATAGAAAATTTTAAGCAAAATAAGAGCAAATGGTCATTTTTGCTCCTAAACATATGTTATAACACCAGGCACAGTACTGAAAAATGCATATGAACATCAGTGTCAACATACAATATCAAAAACAGCCTAATATGGGATTAAACAAGATTTTACTTAACTGAAATTTATACGAAAATAATGTTCTGTCACTTCAATTTCTTTTAAACCAACTTCTTTCCACTCTTCATTACTCAAAGATCAGATCATATAAGGTCTACAAGGAAATTCAGATTTATTATACAGTATCATTTCTGTTTTTGCTTATGACCTCTTACCAGCAAGATGCTAATTTGTAGAAACCATTTTTGAAAAATGTCTTGTTCTTAGAAGCAAAGAACTCAAGAAGTGCATGGCTGACATCTACTTCAGTTTTGAATTTTTTTCACTTCAAAAAAAAAAAAAAAAAAAAAAAAAATTACCAAGAAAAGAAGTGATAATCAGAGGGTGTTAAGTCTGGGAAATAATGATGGATGCAGTAGAATTTTACAGCCTATGATCTGGCATTATTTTGATTCAATTTGATGTGCTTCCTATTGAATATATCCAGCCTCTTTTCTTTGACTGCTTTGTTTAAATTATCCATTTGCTGACAATATCCCTTCAAACTGAGCTCTTCATTATGTTTCAAAATCTCATAATGTATTGGTTCTTGAAAGTCCCACCTTATACAAAGTACTCACTTATTCAGACTTGAGCTCACTTTAGAGGTGGAGAGAGTAGGTTGTCCTGGCTCACAGTATGCTCTTTTAAGATGTTTTCTTAAATAATCCACTTTTTATCACCAGGTCTAAGAAAGGTTCATTTGTGCTTCAAGTAAGCAGAAATGTGAATGTGACAATTTGAACATGCAAATTGTTCTCTCTCAGTACTCATGAGGCATCCTTCTGGAGTATTTATAGACCAATACTAGTTTTCGAATACGGTCTAAATTGGTTGAGCTAAGTTTTTTCACAATTTCTGATGTTATTACACTGTGTCATAGTCTTGACAACATTATAAATTATCAAAAATGGGACCCTAGAGCATAGTTATATTATGAGGCTAAAATCAGCTGCTTCAAATTTTCAAGATATCTCCTACATGTTCTATCCGAAACTTCATATCCACCAAAAACTGATACTGAATTTCAGCATGTTTCTGTATCATTTTTTCCTTGTTGAATTTCATACAAAATAGAATTTCGTAAATGAACTTTATTGCTAGCCATGTTTACACAATAGCATCTCAATGATACAAGACACTTTTCTTTCAGTTAATTTAGAAATGGAGATGTTCATAAATGCAGCGATAAAGAGAAACAGCCACATACAATGAATACTCATTAATTCGAATTTGATCTGAAGCTGCCTTCCCCCAAATTTGTATTGGAATTAATGTTAAAAATATCTCATTAATTCGAACTAAATTTTTATCACTTCAGTTAATTTGAACTAAAAATTTGACAAAAAAATTCCTTTTTCTTCCTTTAACGGAGAAAATATATACTGTATTACCTTGCAAGTCAAAATCATCTGTAGTTCTTTTCCGTGTAAAGAGGCATATGCCTGCTTTCCTAGACTATTGCATTCCACGAAATGTTAGTGGATATTGTCCTACTGTCCACCTCTTATCAGTGATTAAAGGACAAAGCTCCCTCACTTGTTTCCTTGGATTCATTCAGAAACCTTTATGAATGGGTCAGGGTAGGGGGAGAGTCATTTGTTTATTTCTTATCACTTTTCTTAGAATTTAAGAAAAACCAATCTTTACTACAGATCTATACAGCTGTATCAGTTATGCCTGCCGTGCAGACAAGTTAATGTGCTATAGTTTTTGTTCCTCAGTGTGTGGTGTGAATGTGTAAAATTCAGGATGTCTACATGTGTAAAGTGCAAAACTCTAACTTTGGAGACAAATGTAGAAATTTTAAAGTAGAGAATAGTAAACGTAAAACAAAGTTAGCAGCTGACTGTGGAATTAAACAAAATACCCTGTTAACTTATTTGAAAAACAAGGAATCAATATGAAATTAATGGAAAAAATCTAAATTTGCTACAGGAAGGAAACACACGAGAAATGTGTCCCAAGAAGATGTAGAAAGAGCTATACTGCTATGGTTCCACGAGGCTAGATCTCGAAATTTTCTAGTAAATGGACCCCTATTGCAGACAAAGCTGATAAATTGGCAAGTTGAATGGGTATTGAAGATTTTAAATGCAGTGATGGATGCCTTTCTTGATTTAAGGCAAGGGACAATATTTCATATCAAACTGTATGTGGCCAAAGCTCTGATGTAAACGAAGACATATGCTTTAATTTTTGCAGGCTTTTCTCTACTTACCTGACAAAAGATATTTTTAATGCAGTCGAAACTACATTTTTTAATAAATGCTTGCCAAACAAGATAAATACATTTTAAAGGGGATGCTTACGTAGGAGGTAAGAGCAGTAAATAGAGGATTACAGCTTTTTATTTGTGCTAATCATTTTCAGTAGTTAATAATATACACTATCTTAAAAAAGTATAATTAAAAAAAAATTACTTTTTAAATAAATAAATAAATAAACTGTGTGAAAGCATTAATTATTTGCATTGTACCTATTTAGAGGGGAACAAATTAAGGTATTCTTCTCATGCTGTTGCTGTGACTTAAAAGTGATCATGGGAGTGAAAATTTTAAATGATCCCTTATGTGAAAGCCCTCATGATCATGGGAGTGAAAAGCTTAAATTATTAGTGATTGGAAACTAGTGGATTCTAATTGTAGTGAAACTTCCAGATACTAATTCAATTGTAGTAAAATTGCCAGATACTGCATAGTATTTCCTTACATAGATTACAACAGATAAGCACTCACCTCCTCTTTTGTTGCACCAAAATGAGAGCCAATAAAGCATTTTTAATGTCATTTTCATGATCAGCACACTCAAATTAGTCGAGACTGGGCATTTACATAACAAACTGTGTGTAGAATGGTGTAATAAATTTGTATATAATTTATACAAAGAAACAATTGTGCAATTACAGAAGATGAAATTATTCTAGGAGAAAGTTATAAAGGCTATTCTAAAATGTTTGTGAAAATTTCATTAAAACTGAAAGAACATTTAAATTTAAAATGTATTTCCAGTATATGGAAGAATGTACATCTCTTATGTATGTATATAATTTTCAAATAAATTTTAAAATATAAAGTTGACAAAAACATACTATGAGTTAAAAAGCAATTTCTGTTCCTATAAGTGAGGTACTTTTAAGTCATAGCAACAGCATGAGAAAAATAGCTTAATTTGTTCCCCTCTAAATAGGTACAATGCAAATAATTAATGCTTTCACACAGTTTATTTATTTAAAAAGTAATTTTTTTTTAATTATACTTTTTTAAGATAGTGTATATTATTAACTACTGAAAATGATGTTACATTTAACATGGCAGACAGCAAGACATATACCATATTTACTTGTATATTTCCATCCCTAGGTTCTTCCACATGTTATTTTGATTTATGATAACAATCTAAAATGTATGCACAAATAGGCAAATACTCTGTATAAGTAAAAAGAATATTATTGGGATTTATAAATTGTTAAAATACATAATATAATAATATTACTATACCTTTATGTGTGCTTTTTAATGTCTTTGTTTATCATTTAAACCATTCCTTCAGAAATAGAATAAACTGCATATTTTTCCCCTTCCATTTTTCAAACAGTAAAATTAGTCCCCTCATGATTATCAAATAGTAAAATTAGTACAAAAAAAATCTAGTCATGTGCACACCACGACTTCCTTGTGTGAAATATTAAATTATACAAATTTTTCCAAGCATTTCATTTAAACTTATTGAATTGAATTAAGTCTACTTCACTGATAGCACATAAACCGCAACAGAATAAATGCACTCTTTAGAATTCACTATATTTATTCGCCACAGCGATACTCTGGCACTAGGTTCACTTAACAGCTTTACATCTCATTCATTTTATAACTCAGAATGCACAAAAATTATGTCATCTGAAATATCTAATCATTGCCACATTATATTCAAATACTATAATAAATCTAAAACAACGTGTAAAAGAAATTAAACAAATAAAAAAGAAACAGTTTTTCACAGACGTTTCAGTGCCGCTTATCTAATCTGCTACTCATAAACATTCTCCTCTGTCCGAGACAGAGTGGCGACAATATTTGCTGTTAATACAAAACACTTATTTCCTCAAATTTCATTAGAAATATATTTCTCACTTTGCAGCAAGGCAAAAATACATAAAAACTCAAAATATCTTCATTAAAAATTGAAAGATACAGAAAAAGATAAAGACAACAAATAGAGTTAAAACAATTTTTACAATTAAAATTAGAGTTTCTGAAACAAGAAAAACAAGCAATTCGGCCAGGAGGCAAAAAGGCAGATTTTTCGGTGCACAAAACTAAAAGTTTCCTTTTGGTCCCAATCGACAAAAAGACACTGAAGGTGCATCACTATCTGCTAAGTTTCAAATGTAAACAAGTATGGTACTAAGGCTTAAACAACTTTTAAATTTTTGGTAATTCTACAACTATTGCATGCAGATTAACCGAAGGCATAAAAACCCTAACCGGAAGATAACAACATAATTCAATCATTTTTAAAGCAAAAAAGGTGCAATCTACCAACATACAAGAATAAATAATAATAATAATAATAAAACTGTGTTCAGAGACAGGTAACAGAATAGGTATATATATATATATATATATATATATATAGTTTTGGTGCAGCCGATTGCAACCAAAAAGGGAGGTGCATAACTACATGTTATGACAGTCCTATATACAGAATTTCAACATTCTGAGGTTACTTGTTTTTGAGTTACGCATGATACATACATATGTACATACATATGACACGAAAATATCTCTCCTAAATCCATTTTAAATCAGTTTTATAATTTGTTTGAAGAAAAAGAGTCTTTTATTCTGTCCTTACATACATATGTCCCGCAAAAACATTGTTAAATTGCACTCAATAGCCATCAAAATGGATATTTTTGTTGAAATATGGTACTTAGAATTTTTCGTGATTATAATACTTCCTTTATTTCGTACAAGAAAGTAAAAAAAGGGGGTAAATATGATGAGTAAATACATGAAAATACTGTTAAGCTATGAGTATGAAACAAAAAAGAAGTATTTTAAATTTCAAATACAATGAAAATATAAGTAATATCCAGATTAAATTGAATTACAAAATTTACTACAAAGGATACAAGAAAAATTTCTACAGCCTGACATGAAAATGCACAACTCACTTCATTCCCATAAGGTTTAACTATTAGAGATGTATTTGCATCTTCTAATGTATCTGCTTCCACACTTGAAGGTGATGGTGGGGCTGATGGTATTTGAGTGGAAGCTAAGGATGTCAAAGCAGTACTATTGGATGCATTGATGATGATATGGGGAGCATTCATTTGGACAGTAACATTTTCATTCCTTTGAATATCTTCCGGCTACAAAGATATTTTAATGCATATCATAGCAAAAGCACCTTCCATCTATTATAATAAACTATATAATTTCACAATTGAAATATTATACATAAATGTTTTTATTGGATTAACATTCACTATGTGCTACTTATTAATTAAACAACAAAGATATTTTTATGCATACCACATCACAAGCAGCTTCCATAGATTGTAATAAAAGATATAATTCCACAAACAAAGTATTGTAAAGAATTTGTTTTCTTTTTCTGGATTAACATTCACTAAGTGCTACTTCTTAGTTATGCATTCCCTATGTATTACTTATAAAATAAACATTCGTTATATCAGACATAGAAGCATCCAGGTAATCTTCATCACTACGTATGCCAAAAGTTTTAGCAATTTTAAAACTTTTTAATGGTAAAATTCGTAAAAAATAATTTTTGATAAAGAGATTTCAAATATTTTGATATACAGATTTTTTTTTTTTTTTTTTTTTTGTAAAAAAGTTATGGTTTAGCATGACAGCACAACTGCTTTGTTCTTACTAATAAAACCCATTGGAGTGTAAAATACCATATTTATAATTCAAAGTTTATAGTCCATGTGTAAATTTTGAAATTGGAAGATTAATAAATAAAAATTCCTACTCCACTAGAATGTTTGATTTGGGGTTAAAAAAAAAAGGGGGGGGTGAATTTTTTTTTTTTTTTTAGTCTACAGGGTTAGAAAAACTAACCACTTTTATAATTCTTAAGTATTCATGTTTTATCTTAAGAAGAAAATTTAGTATTAAAAGCTTTATTTTATCACTTTCCAATTAATATTTTGTGTAATTTTTAATTAATTACCTTTTGATGTCACAAATCATTTTTTGTATTAACAAATAGTATAACATGCTGCTTCTCAACTAAACAAACAATATATATTTCAAATGACAAATTTTTTTTCTAATTAAATTTTAGATATAGTTATCGTTTTCCTTTTTTACCTTCTTCTGATAAATTTTCCAGATAGTATAATTTTCTGAACTTTTAAAAATTCATTGTCATCTTTCTTCATGATATATATATTTTTTAAATATCTGACAATTTAAGATCTTTTTTTTTTTTCTTTTTTTATTACACTACTTGAAAGTTACTACAGCTAAGGATTATAACTTCATTTAGGTTTACCTGAATATTTTATTAACATTTTAAATAGAGTATACACTTATAACAGATTTCAATCATTATTTAACTGTACTAAACACAAGAAAATATTTGTTTGACTATTCTAATGCATTACTTAATGAAGTTAAGTTATGAATGAAATAGTATCTCATGGTTTGGTTTCCTGCTTTAAAGGAAAATCATATCAATTTCATCTCAAAAATGGCCACCAATGATCAATCTGTAAAATCGGTGAACTCCAGTAGTTTGACCTGGATTTGATTTGAAATGAACAGGCTAGCTGCATGGGCATTTTTGTGGGTTTTTTTCTCTGTGTAATGTGGATACAAGCCACTTTTACTCAGAAAATCATACAAGAAGACATCTCCCTTAAAAGCTGACAATCCTTACATGATTTACCATAAACAAATAAACCAAATCATTTAAAAAATAGAAAGATATCAAGGATAGCTGTAAGTGCCTTAGTTCTTAAACGTGTAACTATTATTCATATTGTTGTGTGCATACGGGTTAGAAATGGATTGAATGCATGAAAACCCAACGATAGCTTGCTAAAATTTATTTGACCAAAAGAAACACTTTACAGTTCTGGAACTTTCCATAAAAACAGTCATACAGCTCTTCACAGCACCACAGAATACAATCAGTAGTTACACTTTGCAACTAAGAACGTTAAACACAATGCAAGTACATCTAAATGGCTAAGCTCACACGTATATCTCAATATTTCGAATTTAGCTCTGAACTAACAGCAGAGAAATTAATGCTTTCTCTGGTCTTACATAGATTTCTTCCAGCCACCAAGAAATTCCTAGCATTTCTCGAAATTACTCGAAGACATAAGAGGTCCTGATATGGTTACAGCAACATACAGGATCAATTACAATACTCATTACACTTATACAAGGGCCAGACCAAAATGTTGCCAAATGGTTCCCACATTTGGTGACATTTTGCAATTTCTCATCAAATTTGGGAACAAAAATTAGTTGCCAAAACCACTGCCAGTTTGGCAATACCTTACCAATTTCACGAGATAGCCGTTTACCCAATGTTAAATAGATTTGCCTCCGTATTCTTATTTTTCTGGTAAAGCATCACCTCTTTAGATTCTCAGGTTACATTATACCAAAAAAAAAAAAAAAAAAAAAAAAAAAAAAAAAAAAAAAAAAAAAGCTTTTAGGTTTTATATTACATCTAAAGGGGTGTTTTTTCTTAACGTTTTGTATGTTACCTTTATTTATTAAATATCATGTTCTTCGCACTTAAACCATAAAATTCAGTTCAACAGCAATATTGCAAAATATTTTTAAAATAAGCACCACTTTAGAATTTCCGATACACAGTCTCGTGCGCTGTAGATCAAAATGTTCTACCAGGTAGGTTTCCTATTTCAAGATTCCTGACTTCTTCATCATTCTATGGGTCTGGGTCAGATAATGTTGAATTCGTAACTTGATATTTTGAGCCTACAACAATATTGGCGACTTTCTGGGCAGGGTGTCCTAGACAGAGTATTGGCATTTCTATGTGATGATCCCTCCCACTGACAGATAGTTATGTCATATACCTGGAGTCTTTATATCTCTAAGGCCATTTGGCCTTCGGAATTCTTGAAATTTAATAGCCCGGTCAATGATGCATGATATATACCGTATTTGACGGCATATAAGACACACCCTTAATTAGAAGGCCACACACATGTAGATGTAGAAAAAGTTATGCGTGTCTAGCTCTTTATCCGGGCTAAAAATAGCATTCAGTATTGAAAGCTAACCTGTGTCCTTCACGTATAAGACGCAGGTAGCTTTTTTGAGACCAAATTTAGGGAAAAAAGTGCGTCTTATATGCCATCATATATGGTATGTAGCAGGAATTTTCTGTCATGGAGGTAATAGTGGAAATGTTCTACAACTTTTTATTACAGTGAGCAAGTCTATCCTGGGGACAGAGTAATACCTCTAAGGTTTAGACAGACACTTACTCTAGTACACCACAATACATTCTCGACCATTTATTTCTTGACACAAAACCACACCAACACTATGGCAACCTCAGACTCAAATCTGACAATCTCAGCCCTGCCAAAGATGGCCAGTAATTAGTTTTTCTCCTTCATGCTGGAAGCAGTCTTAGCTTCTGTGCTCTGGGGTTGTTCTACAGTTCTTTCATATGTGGCCTTCAGCATTGCAGTTCCAGCATTTAAAGGCCAGTCTGTTGCCACTCCTGTTTTGTACCAAGGTACTGACAGGCTTGGTTAAATCATCTAGATGAGCAGTTAGTTGATCCCCTGGCTCCTGGACTTGAGCAGCTCTGTTTAGATGCTTGATATCCGCCTTTCGTAGGGCTTTCTGTATCTCAGGATCCCAGCTGCCATCAATGAAGTATCGCAGAGACAGTATTTTCCTTGTTTCTGTTCGGCAGCGAAAAAACCATGAGGCAGCCTTTTAACATCCGTGATGAGCTCCTAGAGTATTTCTGTGGGCTTTCATTGGTGAGAGTTTAACAGAAGCCTGCTATTAGTCTTTAAAACCTTTCTTCATAGAGCATTGCTTTAATGCACTGAATATAGCTCTGAAGTCTAGTCTCTGGTTTTTGGGAAGTGTTTGAAGGATATTCACTGTGCCTACTCCCAAAGATACAGTGAGATGGCAGGCTTTAGCTTTAGAATCCCATCCATTTACATTTACCATTATAGAGAACTACATCTTGTACAACTGCCAGGAGGTCCTTCTATCAATATATGGATAGCTTTAGAGAGGGTTGGGATGATATATATTTGAATTTAAAGGCATTAGAAATGTGATCAGCTGTTTAGTTAAGGATTTCTTTAAACTTTCAACTTCCTTGGCATTAGCAGCAGGAAACCTGTCATCAGTTTGTTGTTTGATTTGCTGTTGGGTGGCACAAAATCCTTCTTTGAGTTTTGTTTGACAGAAGAAAGTCTTTCTTCAGTTTCTCCAACTTTATGTTGAATTGTGTCTATTCTACCTTCCATAACCTCGAATTTGTTTTCTATTATGCAGGTAATTTCTCTTCACATTCCTTCTTGACCTGACCCTTTCCATCTTTTTGTCAGAAGCTTTCACCTCTTCCTTAATAGATTCTTGACCCACATTCATCTCTTCTTTTAATGCAGCAAAGGCTGCCATGATCTGTCTTAGCTGCTCCTCTATTGTTCTTGTAAACCAGACTTCCATCCCACTTTTGACACCAAAACATTTTGCATGTTTACGGGTTTGTAATGGATTGAATGCACACAGAGCTGATGGCATCTTGATAGAATTTATTTTACACACACACGCACACACAAAAAAAAAAAAAAAAAAAAAAACTTTACAGTTCTGGAACTTTTCACAAAAAACAGTCATGCGGCTCTTCACAGTAGCACAAAATATAATTAGTAATTTCATTTCAAACTACTAAGGACATTAAATACAATTCAATGCACAGTACATCTAAAAGGTGAAGATATCACGGATATCTCAACACTCCAAATTCCACTCTAAACTGAAATTGAGAAAGTGATGCTGTCTCCAGTCTTATAGACATTACCAAAGTGTTGATCAAATCTTGTAGACTTGCACACCACTCTTCTAAAAGTGCACTTTTCAGCTCATGGATTGTCCAGGGAGAAATCTGGTGCCCTAAGGCATCACACACATGCTCAGTTGGGTTCAAGAATGGTGTGTAAATCCATTAGCAAAAACTCTGGGCCAACCACAGCCCTAAACAGCCTAACTTGGGTTTCAGTACCTTGTCCATATATCTGCAAGCAGTTACAGAACCTCTTGAAAGATATGCAGCTCGGTACGGCCATTTGTCACGATTCCTCCCCAGATCATTAAA